TGCTGGCATTTTACAATCCTAACTTTGTACTACCAAAACAGCTCTCCCTTTAAGCAATACCTAAAGGCGACTCCTCCATTTTTTTTTTTTTTTTAAAGAAAAGTGGGATGGGAGGGGCAGAGGGAGAGAGAGAACAAGCAAGCTCCACGCCCAGCACGGAACCCCATGCAGGGCTAATCTCGCAACCCTGAGATCATGACCTGAGCCCAAATCAAGAGTTGGACACTACATCAAAAACTAATGATGTACTGTATGGTGACTAATAAAAAAAAAAAAAATTATTTAAAAAGAAAAAGAATTGGGACACTTAACTGAGCCACCCAGACCCCCTGCAACTTAAGATTAATATACAAAGAATCCTGAAAATACAATTGCCCTATATTGCAAGACTTAAATCTTACTTAAACATAATTTGTATCTGGCTTTGGCATTTAAAAGCTTATGAAACAGTTGTCTGGCTGCAAATTAAAATGACTGGAGCTTAAAACAGATGACCATGCCAAGTCTTCACTACCAACCAATTAAGCCAGTATTTCTGGAGGTGTTGTTCAAGCATCAGTATCTTTATTTTTTTAAGCTCCTCACATGAGTTAATGTACTACTGTAGTTGAATACCAATGCTAAAAACAGAGTAGTTCTTAATAGTTCCCTGCACCTCCTTTCAAGATGGGGGTTATATACCTCTTACACTGTTGGTGGGAATGCAAACTGCCCCAGCCACTCTGGAGGTTCCTCAAACTTAAAGACAGGACTACCCTACAACCCAGCAACTGCACTACTAGGTATTCACCCAAAGAATACAAAAATACCGATTCAAAGGGGTACATGCACCCAGATGTCTACACCATTATCAATAACCCAAACTATGGGAAGAGCCCAAACATCCATCAACTGATGAACGAATAAAGATGTGGGGCGTATGTGTGCGTGTATATATATGTACATATGTATGTAATATATATACATATACTACATTACACACACACACACACACAAATGGAATATTACTCAGCCATCAAAAAGAATGAAATCTTGTATTTGCAATGATGTTAATGGAGCTAGTGTATTATGCTAAGCGAAGTAAGTCAAGAGAAAGACAAATACGATTTCACTCATGTGAAATTTAAGAAACAACAGATGAACACATGGGAAGGGAGAAAAGAAAACAAAGGAGAGGGAAGCAAACCGTAAGACTCTCAATGACAGCAAACAAAGGGTTGATGGAGGTGGGTGGGGAATGGCCTAAATGGGTGACAGGCATTAAGCGCACTTATGATGAGCACTGGGCACTACGTATATTTAAGTGATGAATTACTAAATTCTTCTACTGAATAATATGCTATATATTAACTAGAATCTAAATAAAAATGTGAAAAGAAAAAGAAAAGATGGGTGTTATGTAAAGGAGCAACTGGAAAACAAGAAACAGAGTTCTAAAAAGGAATGAGGTAATTAGGAGGATGTGCTTAACCAGAAGGGGAACTACCTGACCAATCAAGCTTTCTGTTATACATAAAACGTTCATAACCTTATGGTCAAGAAAGTGATTGTAAACATAAAGCAATCTGGCAACCACTTCTACTTGGTTTTCAATGTATCACAGAGAAATGATTAAGTGAAAAATATAGGATACAAAGTTGTATGTACAATTATGCTTAAAAAGCATTAATATTATAGGGAAATAAATCAAATGTTCATACAAACTGATACTGCTGGATGGCATGATTTGCCATTACTTTTTATCTTTTTATAATTTTTTTCCAAATTCCCTAAAATGAACATATTATTATTGTTCAAGAAATGAGGAAGATAAACTTTCCTTTCCTTTAAGGATGAATGTTCAAACTTCTTCACACCAATGCCCATCAGGCTGAGCATTCCCAAGAGGCCACACTGTTCCTGCACAGAACCCTCCAGAAGCATGGCTTCTAACAATGGGCTATCAAATGTGGAACTGAAATACCCAGCTGTTCCCACTTCCCATGAAAAAGTACTTTACAGGGGGCGCCTGGATGGCTCAGATAGTTAAGTGTCTGCCTTCGGCTCAGGTCAATCCCAGGGTCCTGGGATCAAGTCCCGTGTTGGGCTCCCTGCTCAGTGGGGAGTCTGCGTCTCCCTCTCCCTGCCGCTCCTCCTGCTTGTACTCTCTTGCTGTCTCTGTCAAATAAATAAATAAAATCTTAAAAAAAAAAAAAGAAAGAAAGAAAAGTACTTTAAATCTAGGTCACTAAGCAAAAGACTATCTGCATCAGAACTCAAGTACTAGTGAGTGACCAATTACTACTACTTAACATAAACACACAAACCATCATAATCTGTTGAAATCAAATTCCTTTTTTTGCTTCTTGGAAAGGAAAATGACACTTCACATTTTTAAACAGTTTATTTATTCGCGCAATAGTTTGATTTCCTCTGAAAGCTAGAAAATAAAGATAATTTATTTACCTTATTTTGTTGTTTTTCCATACGGTAAACATTGATCTTTCCCTAACTTCATAAAGGTGAATTTTTTAAAAAATCTATGCACACACCAAAATCACTGAATAGGAATGTGCAAAGCTCTAGGAAAAACTCACTTAAATGTTTTTAAAGTGGCAGAAGATCACAATTTGGGGATATACCCTATTAAGAACTCTTTTTTAAATCTTATTGATAAAACTTGTTTTCAAAGTGGTGATTTTGAAAGATTTAAAATCCAAAAATAATCCCCACAGCAGATAATCTCAATTTTAGGAGAACTTCTGAACTAAGATACTTGGGAGAAAGTAAAAATATTTTCTTTGACCAGAACTTTTGAATTTGATACATACTTTTTTCCAAGTGTCACTTCTTTTTTTAAAGGTAAGAAACCACACACTCAGAATACAATTCTTAAATTTGTTTCTTGTAAGCACAAGAATGGGCAAAGTTAAGGTACATTAGTTATAGAATGAAATAAAGTAGTGCATTTAGCGTCACATATGAACTTAAGGCCTTAGTTACTTGATTGTGATTTCAGTATTAGCAACAGTATATTTCCCTCATGCTTACATACACAAGTAAGCAGGCAGACAAAGCAAAAATTTCTAAACATGTAAGGAATGAAGACAATTTAATCTATATATTATCAGTCAATTAATACAGTTGGACTCTTTCAAAGTAACCGCTGGTAGTAAAATAATCTGACCACATTTGATACAGCAATTAAAAGAATAGAAATTAGGTCTCCTATACAATCAGAGCATCTCCCAATGTGTAAAGCAGTTAAAAAGCCCATTATTTTGCAGATACTGCCCAGACTACAACCTACTCCCAAACTAACCTTTGCATAATGCATTTTGTAAAATGCCTATCTAAAAATACATTGTATTTCATAGTATTTATTACCAATATGGGGGGGGAGGGAGATTTCTAACCTAAACACTAAAGCCAAACATACATGAGACTATTCAACAGTAGCCTGTAATACAATCTTAGGATACGAAATTTCACATACATTTATTAAATAGCATCTTATGTTCATAATTTCAGTCATGTCAAATTAGGACAAATTTTTTTTCTATGAAGTTACCAGAAAAGACACTAAGCTAGAGTCAGGAGAGCAGATTTTCTAGTTCCAGCTCTGCCTCTACCTACCTGTGAGACGCAGGACAAGTTCCCTTAAATTCTCAGAAAGGCCTCAGATTCCTCAACTATAAAACAAAGGGGCTGAAATAAATGAGTTCTAAGGAGCATTCCCATAAAACGGGATTTTGCTAAAACTCTTGAGAACTCAAATTTTCAAAAAATTATAGCCATGAAATATCAAGCTTGATACTTATCACCAATAATGCTGATTTATATAGAGAGCTTTAAGCCAAGGAATTAATGATTCTGCATTTATGGGACAAAATGCAAGATGTTTTTTCCACATGCTTTTCCAGTTATCAGAAAGGGAGGGAAATTTTACAATGACTGTAAAGCACTGGAACAATAGTGAAAACATTACCTGTAACAGCATGCTAGTAATGGATAGGCATTACTTGCTTGCTTTTAGTAACTTTTGCACACAAGGCAAAAGGTTTTATAAGATACCAAAGAGCACAATAACACACTACATGTGGCCTGACAAATTCAAAACATACTTGAAATGAGAAGGCAACCAAAATACTTTAGGGGAACATTTCACTCGTTTATAAAATGTATACAGAAACTTGGGCTTAACACACTTCACTGCACCACATCAAGTCCCAAAGTCTAGTTTCCCTTTCAAAAAGAAGTGCATCTTTTACAAAATTAACACCTATTTTCAGGAATCAAGAGTCACTTGTATTGGACTGCACTTAGTAGAAAAACAATATATTGTCTCTGGTTCCAAACTTTTCTATGCTAATACAAGTGAAATAAATGAAGATATAAGACTAACTGCCAAGAATTAGACCCTAAAATGCGTATTTATACTGAAAATGTGTTTCACATTAACAGGTAGATTTGCAAAGGATAAAAAGTCATTTTCCAAAGAAAATTTCCAAGACTTACTTAGTAATTCCAAGTTTCCATAACAGAAATTTACTTTGAATGTCAGATTGGACAGGAAAAACACCTACTTTTAAACTACTATTATGAAATGTTCTAAAATAAAAGGAGTTCTTAGGCTGGTTAAAAAGCACTGGACTAGAACCAAGGAAAATTAGTCTTCCTTGTGAAGATACTAGAAGAACTTGTTAAGAATGGGGAACTCAAACGCAACAGAGCCACAAGGCATACATATAAACGGAAATATTATAGTCTTTTTATTCTCATGGGATTTCCTTATTTTATATTATCTTGAAGACAAAGGGATTGTGATCTTCCAAAATACCAAAAGTAGCTTAAAATTTTATCAATCCCTTTCCTTAATAGAATGAGGACTCTTAACTACAAATATTGTAATATCTGAAAGGGTTTCAATGCAAGATAAAATTAAGCATCATAAATTTCCAATTACCATACAATGGACTCCATGGTATCCCCGCCTAATGACACGACACACAAACAAGCTATCGAGCAAGAATCTGTTAACAGTTTTATTTTTTTTTTTATGTTAAATACCATGGGACAGGATTGTAAGGATGAAAAACTCAGTCAACAACTGCCTCACAAGGGATAAGAAAAATTCTGCCATGATATTAGCAAAGGTAAAGGAGAAAATTTACACTGTAAGAGGCACCATTTCCCCACAGAATACCTCTTGGCATTTCCTGAATGAGTGGGATTAGCAATCTAAATAAATCATATTTCAAGAGGTAACAGCAACAGATAAAATTTAAAGGGATTATTAAAATAACATTTACAAGACTCTGAACAATTCTTGAACTCTTATTAAAACCACAAAGAAAGAACAATTCTTTATTTATGAATTTCATAAAGGACTGAATGTGCAACTGACATCTGCTAGTGATGATCTGGTAATATACAATTTGTCCAGGAGCCGAACAGTTTGTTTTATTGTGTTTTCTAACCGTAAGAGATCATTAAAGGCAAAGCCTATATGACGCTGTACACACAAAAAAAATGGTCACCGTGGGCCATACTACCAATGAAATGGTAGGTAAACAAATCTTTTTCTGGTCAAGAGAGAAAAAAAGAAATAGCACTCTGCATGCTTCACTCTACAAGATGAACTTCCCTAGAAAGAACCCGATGAAAATGGCTGCAATTACGACAAGAAGGGAAGGCAGAGGACTGGCGACATTATCTCTGAAGGATGCAGCTGAGGTTGATCCAGGTTTATCCGAATGTGCTACCTTTCTGAGCCTTAAGCCTTCATCCTGAAAAAAATATATGCACAAAGAGGTTTTAAAAACAAATATGCATCCAGTACAACTGCCAAGTTACACATCTATGGCCAGAAAGCAGATCAGTGTGCATGTGGCTACAATGGGAGTAGGGACTAACTGCTACCCAGCATTAAGAAGACTTTCTAGGGGCGCCTGGGTGGCTCAGTCATTTTAAGCGTCTGCCTTCGGCTCGGGTCATGATCCCAGAGTCCTGGGATTGAGTCCCACACCGGGCTCCCTGTTCAGCGGGAAGCCTGCTTTACCTCTCCCACTCCCCTTGCTTGTGTTTCTTCTCTCACTGCGTCTCTCTCTGTCAAATAAATAAATAAAATCTTTAAAAAAAAAAAAAAAGACTCTAGGGTGATGGAAACATTCTAACACTGGAGTCTAGTAATGGCTGCACAAGTCTACACATTTACTAAAAATGACTGAATTGTACACTCACAATGGGTGCCTTAGTGGAATATAAATTACACCTCAATAATGCCGATTTTAAAAACTAGAACTGAAAAAATGTACTCCTAAAAAAGTGAAAAATCAGATACTGCTGTATTTATGCAGAAGGAAAAAACCACCATTAAAATCTATTAATACAAGTAAGGAAAAGTTCTGTGCATGCACGTATTTCCGTGGTGGCCCTCGGTATTTTTACACGGGTTACCAAACACCACCAGGAGCAAAGCTGTGGTCTGACAGGTTTACAGACACACTGCAACCAGGGTACCCACACAGCAGAGACACAGGGAGTATCTGGCCGAAGGAAAAGGAATTTTACAGGATTTGGAGGAAGGGGAAATTTCCGGATAAAATTTAAGTAGCAAGTATTTTGACAAGTTCAAAGCAGGAGGTTCATGTGTAGAAGGGTCAGCACTGGGTCTTGACTGCCAAGGAGACGCTGAATCCTGCTTCTTCAGGAACAACAAACTACAACAGCTATGGAATGTTGTATACAGAACCGCCCCCCCACCCCCATTTGCGGCTATGCCACTGGACTGGAAAGGGAGGCTGCTTCTCTTGTCAAAGTGACTCAGATCCTCTAGACAAGAGTGAGCTGCTTGGTTCTTACCGGTATGATTTTACACAGCAAAGTTTTTGACAGTATGATTTTAGGGGACAAGGTTTCTCAGTAAGAAAGCAATAGTCACTCAAAATAGGAGGTTGTTATCACACTTTATCAGCCACAGAGTGACCTTGGGAAAAATACTGATACCTAGGCAACTGGCTTTATCTGTGTCCATCATCCCAACCAGATGAATGACAGGGCAGATTTTTACTTCCTTAGTGCAACCATTTTTATTTTCTCACACTGATTCCTCTAGTATGCTTACTAATGCCAAATGAAGAAAGAGTCCACCTCAGGTCATACTATTTGCAATTACTGGAATTTCTGAGGGTTGGTGGGGTTTTTTAGTCTTATGTTCATTAGTCCTGTGTGAGAAAAAATTATTCTCAATCCCATCAAGAACTTCAAACAATCCTCCTAGTGATTCTGATTTACCAGGCCTGGGGAGGACCTGTATTTTTAAAAAGCTCACTAGGAGATTCAGATGCACAGCCTGGATTAAGAACCGACTAGAGGAATAAAAAGGAACAGTGACAAATTATGATGGGTCTTATGTATGAAATGTTAAAAAAAAAAGGGCCTGAAATTGATTCTACAAGCCAGTGGTCTTCAAGGTTCTTTTATCTTTTAAACAGCAGAACATGTTTTCAAATAACATCTCCTACAAAACATCAGCCAATAAATAAAAAGGAGAGACCAGCACCCAAATCTCACCTCTCTCCCTGTCCACTCTTCCTATTTTCCACCCTTGCCCTACTTATATCATTCCTACCATTTCCACTTCTCCCCTCCTGCCAAGAGACAAACAGTGGCTTTTTGAACAAATGTAATGAGCATGCTAAGGAGCCCATCTTTCATCAAAGAACAGAACTGTGCCATTGAAGTCACAGCAGATAAAGTAAAGGTAACAAAAACAGCATTCTTAAAAATCTATGGTGTGTGGATATAGGTGTGAAATGAATATAATCTTTCCACTATCCCAAGAGGTGCTGGGGGCCTCTGAGGGGTACTGTGAAATAGGAAGAGATAAACAATTATTTCAGCACAGATTAAGATACAGTGCCTCTGATTCAGAGTATACATAGTTCTTACATACATTTAACAGATGGAAGAATCAAAGATTAAGTCCCTTAATTTGGCTTATTTACATATGTACATTTTTGTATCATCTACTTTGATGGCGATTTAAAGGTATTCAGGTCTTGAAATAATTACTTGTCAAAGGCAAATTAATACACCCACACATATTCAAATTAGTCCTCATTCACCAGTTCATCCATTTTATTCATCCAAATATATGAATGACTACTATACGCATGTGCTATGAATGCAAAGATGAATGAGCACAGGTCCCTGCCCCCAAAGAACTACCGCCCACTAGAGGGAGAAAGACCTCCAACAAACAGGAGCAGTAAGATGACCGAGGTTTCATGGAAACAAAGGAGATAGCATTCCAAACCGTATTTCTTTTCTTCTGGGAGGAGAAGTCCTAGAAAAGGTTATACTGAAAAGATGACAAGAACCAAGGACCAAGAGATAATCACGCATGTATAATGTGCTTATAAGGGTAGGGATGGGATTTCAGGGTGATCCAGTCAGAAGGAAGAACGCAAGCTAAAGCAAAAAAGAGATCATTAACGGAGAGGACTCTTCAGGATACTCTAGTCCAACACTGTCCAATATAAATATAAGCTTCAACTGTGAGCCACCTACGTACTTTTAAATTTTCTAATAGCACATTAAAAAGGTAAAAAGAAAAGGGTAAAATTAATTGTTAATAATAAAATTCAATCCAATATAACCAAAATACTATTTCATTATGTAATAATACAAAAAAGAGGTATTTTTTTGTACTAAGTCTAAGAAATCAGTGTTCTACACTCAAAACACATCTCACTTCAAACTAACCACATTTCAAGTGCTCAACAGCCACATATGTCCCTACTATATATGGGACAGCACCATTTGAGGCAATTCTATGACTAGGGCACAGAATGTAAAGGCTGCTACAAACAAGAGAGGAAGCCAGCAATGCCACAGGCCAGATCACAAATAACTAGGGCATCTACTAGGAAAAGAACCTGCAGGCAATGAGAAGCCTTGGTAAAACTAGAGAGGCAAGAGTGGGGAGCAAAGGCTAAGACATAATCAAATTAGGAAAAACAAGAAGAACTGACCAAGGATAAATTTAAAAACTGATGGATAACATGGCCTAATAATGATTCATATATCTTACGCCTTCATATAAATCAACTTATTTTCAAAAACAACTTACTCTCAGGTGTCGATTTTCTTCTGATAGTTTCATCATTTCTCCCTGAAGTCTTTTACATTCTTCCATGAGTTTCCTTGTTTCAGTATCGTTGAGTGAAACACTATGTGGTTTTGGCATGGGTCCATCTTGTTTAGAGGCATTCAGTGGAACAGTTTTGCTAGGTTCCAGATCATTCTGTATTACAAAGACAGTGGCACTTTTTAACTGACCAAATCTCCTTACAGATTTTAAACAAATTCAAGTTGAAACTCCATACCTTTCTTTTCCAAAAAATCATTTAAATGGAAATTTCTGAGGCTGTGATTTCATTAATAAGAATTTTTTTTAAATACCAAAGGTTACCGTCATCTGTGAACAATTTTAGGACTAAATCAAGAAAGGTCAGCAGTAAGAGAAGTCAAAATAAGCAGCCCACTCCCTCCTCTACTCCCAAAACCCTTCACACTTACCTGCACCACAGCACTTATCATGTATCATAATAATGTATTTTTGACATTCTTTCCTACAATACTTCAAAGGCTGGAGAGCAAGTCATTTTTTTTTTTATTTACCCCTAAACCCAGCACTTTGGCCAAGAGTAGCTATTCAAAGAAAAGTATGCTGAATGACGCCAACCAAAATCTAAATACAAAGGTCATTTTCAGTGCTCTGATTTTGCAATTCAAATGAGATTCTGAGGGCATGGGGGGATACTATAGTAATAATTCCAATGAAATTACAAGACTAAGAAAAACACTTAAAACCTAACTTCTATTAATGGGAAAAAATAACTAGGATATAAACATAGAAGAGGAGATAATAAACACCAACATATGGTTAAAAAAAAAAAGAGGAGGTAATTCCACATTCTTAAACATAAATAATTATCTCAAATTATCACCAACACTGTTTGCTTTAACTCATGAAATTCCATATGGATCACAGTAGTACTTAGACACTTTTAAACTCTGAGCCCTAAAACTGTAATTCTCACCAACACTCACCCAATATAGATAAATACCTAGGGCAGGGCCCCAGGGCCTGTGGTCTAAAGTGCCTCAATCTCCTTTACCTTAATGTCATTTATACTATCACCTACGCCATAACAGTATTAGTGCAAGTCATCTCTTTAAAATTTTACTTGCTAGAAATTAAATGTTATATTTTTTTAAACTGCTTTATTCAGATATAAACTTCTAACAAAAACATTTCCAAAATCAACTTTATGGCATTCCACAGTACTCAATAAGATTTAATTATAAGTTACACATCTACCACACCATCCGAGGTCCCAAATTTATATTAAGTGTAAATAATTGTTAGTTCAAGGGGCAAAACTAGTATTTCTTATGAAGGGAATGTGATTTGATCACTATGCCTACAAAAATTAGTAATGTTATAATGAGGTTCTAATGTATAACACTACATTATTTGACTGTCAACATTCAGATTTTTTCATTTTTCTTCAGAAGCTTCTCAGCTGTGAAGGGTTTTTAAGAAGCCTACTTCCGGGGCACCTGGGTGGCTCAGTCAGTTAAGCGGCTGCTTTCGGCTCAGGTCATGATCCCGGGGTCCTGGGATCGAGCCCCGCATCCGGCTCCCCCGCTCAGCGGAGAGCCTGCTTCTCCCTCTCCCTCTGCCTGCCACTCTGCCTACTTGTGCTCTCTATCTCTCTGTCAAATAAATAAATAAAATCTTTAAAAAAAAAAAAAAAGAAGCCTACTTCCAATTTCCTTCTCTGAGTTGTCCTCTTGCTTTCTTGTTCTTCACCCTATCTTCCCATCCTGACCAATTCCATCTCTATTAGTAAAAGTATGTTTCAAATATAGTTTGCTCTCCACCAATATTCTTTCTTAATCCTTCCCTTAACAGTAATTAGAATTCATATCAAAATGATTTTTCAAGTGTGCTCCAATTTCAACCTAGAACAAATCCAGATTTGGAAAAAGAGGGCAGTTCATTGCCTTCCTCTATAAAGATGAAAGCAACAATCAACAATATGGCAACTAACGAATCCTCAGGTTCTAATCTGATTAAGGGGAAAAAACATAATACTCAAAACCAGAAAGCGGACTAAAAAATCAAGAGGAGATACATGAGGCCAACAAGTGAAGAGTAAAAAATAAAATGAGGAATCATTAAACTCCTCACAATTAGTTTTAAATAAATTCTTGAAATTCCAGAAATTCAGAATTATCAGAGGGAGAGGAAACTACCAATCTCATCAACCCAACCCAACCATTACTTATGTATTATCTTTCAATATTTTCTCATATGCACATTTTATAAAATCAGCATACACTGTAACATTTTTATCTTTATCCATTTATATATACATCTTTTAATTATCATTTTAAATGACACTACATGTCATTATTCTATTCTGTGCCTAAATAAAATTACTTAAACATCTCACTCTTTTTAGACATTTGATGGGTAGCTTCCCACTCTGGGATTTTAAGTAACATGTCAACGAGTATCTTCTTATGGTTGGCAGAATTAGATTTTTCTTTTTCACTGAAATTTTTCTTAATGTTATATTCTTTATAACAAAAAGGAAAAGAAATGTCATAACCAATTTGTGAAGCATAAACACGAAGACTAGAATGCAAATGGTATAATGAAGCTTAAATACACATTTCAACAGTGAGTCAAGTTAAGATATGAAAACAAGTTACTTGGAATATACTTCTTGTCAAGTACTATTTAGGCCCCCTACAAACCAGTCAACATACATAGCAGATGCAATGAAATCTAATTTATTTGTGTATATTTAAAGTGTAAACATATATAACCTAACTTTACTGGAGGTTAAAAAGGGGGAACTGGCAGGGGGCTGAGTCATTCATGTAGTACCCATCTACAAGAGCCTGATGGGAACACTAAGGCTGCTATGACTTTATATACTTCCATTCAGGAGCTCCATTACTGAGGTTTGGCTCCAGGAAAACAGCTCATTCCTTGAGAGTTGCTTCAGACTGGTCCAGAAAGAGAAGACTGGTTGTTCTGAGAACCGTGAAACAAGCAAACTAAAGGGATTCAACATGCTGTGACTCTTAGGAAACTGATGAATAGTAATGTTATATTAACATCATATTTAACACTGCAGCTAGAATAAATGGGAAGGTCAGGGCCATGATCAAGACAAAAAAATATGCCACAACTTGTACATTTTCCACTATTTTATATTTTTTAGCCTATCTGCAAAAATCCCTTTCCATCATGAATTAAACTAAACTTACTTCTGTATTTCTTTTTAACAACCTTCAGAATTTCAATTCCAATATTATAAATTATCCCTACTGGGGGTAATTAGAAAAACAGAGCAAGGGATTGGAAACAGAAGGCGCAAGGCAAAATAGGTTTTTGCAATAAAGCCTTGAGAAAGACAAGCCCTGAACTAAAGAACGTAAGTATGAGGCCAAATTCCTGTGACTATAATGAGTAGAGGTACGTAAATGAATATAAAGGGGGGAGGCACCTGGCTGGCTCAGTCGGTGGAGCATACTACTTTTGATCTTAGGGTTTTGAGTTCAAGCCCCACGTTAGGGGATTACTTAAAAATATAATCTTCAAAAAAAATTTTTTTAATGTCTATAAAGTAAATTAAGACTAAAACTAAGGGCTGTGGCATAAAATTGTTATGGGCATAATTAAGGCCTTGACCTGGGAAGAGACAGTATTTGAAAAACAAGGTTACTGGAGACTTATTTTCACTCTAAAAAACCAATTTACTGTTTCTGCAGAATCATGATTCCCAGAAATAAGTAACTAAAATTACAATATCAAAAAAAGTATCAGACAAATTTAGATAAAGGATCAAATTTTTTTCTCTGCAAAGCCAAATCAAAGTATAAGCAACCTGTTCAAACTGTGGGGTTCCTGAAGTTTCTAGTAAGCAAAAAATGGTAAAGGGAATCATACAGCAACCATTACACCACCCAGAAGTCACCGTTATCTTATTGACATGCTGTCATCTTATTTAAGTGAACGTTAAGTACACACGTGTACACATACACACACACACACACACACACAAACAAGTTCAACTATGACCTAAGATCGTTAGGGTTTACCCACATATTCTCCTACCCTGGGGCACTGTAAATAATAATGACAGTTAAAGAGGGGCTACTATTTGTGTTTGATAACAAAACATTAAATAATAATTTCATTTATCCTTTTTTTAATATATATGAACAAATACTTGCCTGGAGATCAACGTTTGCCAGCCCCTACCTTTACTGCTATACCTGCTAGTTTATTCAAGTAAGCTCCTAACTCTTTTAGGAAGTCTCAATGACAGAAAAAATTATACCAACTTCATAACAATGTTCACACTTAGATTTGTCCTGCTCACTACTGAGATTAAGTGCTCAATTTGCTTTTTTAGAACAGAGAACTGTTTCTGTGCATGATTTTTAAGTGATTTGTGGTTCTACTGTATTTTTAAACATAGCTGAAAATTTCAATTCTATCTACTTCATATAATATACTCATAATACCATGTATGTGCTAGGTAATGACATTAACGTAACCAGTAACACTAGTAAACTCCTATAGCTGTTATCTCCCTAAAACAAACCTTCTGCTTCTCCTGTTTGAACACATTGAGTCCCCTGGGGTCATTCTTCGTATTATAACTGCCAGTTGTTGGAACTGTGTTGTTGATGCTGTTCATTGAAGTGACAGCCGGAGCAGTCCCTGGTGGAGTTATACCCTGAGGTGGCATGGGAAACATATTCTCAGATTCGCATCAAACTGATTTCTCCTGCATGGTACTGGGAATGACTAACACAGAAATCATTAGGCTCTAAGACATTCGCATTTTACTCTATAAAAATGTACTATATATAAGATATAACACTAATAAGAACTACGTTAAAGCAAAAAGTACAAAAGTTTCTGTAGCTTTTTATATTTCCCAAACAAAATCAGCTATGATCAATTTGTATTATGCTAATTAAAGGTATAAATCTTATTAAATTAATGCTCGCTTCATGTTGTCCTAAAATGAACACCTTCTAATTTTGCAGCTCTTAATTTCTGTTGCTAATCAATGCTTGTCAATATCTGAAAAACAAGCACTTCATATTTTCTTACCTTTGGTAATACTCAACCTTAACAATTTTAAGTTAAATGAATTTTTTCCTTTTGAGGTTCAAAAAAAGAGTATTTTATAAACCTCTCCTGTACTCGACAACACCCACCCCCAAACACACACACATACACATACACACACACACACCTCTCTCTCCCAGGACCATTAAACAAACTTAAAGATGCATATAACATTCTAGTATATCAGTATCTCCATAATTCTCTTCCTATCTTCTCAAATTCCTTTAATATAGGTGAAAATAAGAGGATACCAAAATGTTGATACATACTTTGAAATAATACTTAGTGATACTCAGGTCAATGTATACAACTATGAGAACTCCATCTCAATAATGCACTGTCCCCAATCTGTTCCTTGTCTCAACAAATACAAAACAATGTATACTTAATCATAAAAGTTCTTTGTATACATAAAACCACTGAAATTCCTTGCTCTTGACAACCCATCAGTCTTAAGATAAACTGGTATTTTTTTCCTAGAAAATGTTATTAACACACATTAGGATGGAGGGCATAAATGAAATGCAATACATTTAAGAAATCTGGAAATTTTCAAGTAGAACTGGAGGCCTCAAAATAAACCAAAAAAAATTTTTAATTGAACACAAAGAATTAAATAGGTGATAAAACACCATAAAATAAGAATTAAAACCACATTCAATCCCGAAAACAAACACTACACCACTAAATAGACATTAGATCTCATAATACAGTTGATAATAACTAAAAAGAGCTATTAATTCCAAGAACCCAACTTTGCAAAAATAAAGCAGTCAACACTTTAGTTATCATCTGCCTCCAGCTATCAACAACCCAGGGAACATGCTGAATGGCACTTGTTACTACTGCTGAACACAACTCAACTGAAGACTCTATGGGCCATTAATTTACTGAAATATATCTGAAGACCTGCTGTTTCCCTAGGACTAGGGTGACCACAAATTTTAGTATGCTTAAGAACAGTATTAGTTAATGCTTGCTATCCTGGAATAATTATTAAAAGTACCTCCATTTATTTAAAAAAAAAAAAAAAAAAGGTTCCTGGAATCCTAGGTCACTCCATCTATGATGCAAATCAAAGAATTATTTTCCAAAAAGATGGCCACTCTAATGATGGTTCAAAATAAGCTAGAATAGTTTTGCCAAAAAAAAAAAAAAAAAAGATTTCTTTACATCATAAAGATTTTAAAAACAAGAACTCAATCACTATACTTCTAGACCTGGTATCTTTTTTACCCTGACAACCACAAAACTTCAATCATTTGTTTATATATTCAGTTATCAAGGTCGTGAAAACTTAAAGAAATCAACAAAATAGTAACATACTCTTTTCCACTGTTCTTAAGAACATGTAAATGCCTAAACACTAACAGCATTACCTAAAAAGCTCCAGATCCTCAAATAGGTAAGATACACTCACCTAATGTAATTAAATTAAATGCCTATCTACTTCTTTTTGGGGCAAGATGGGTGAGGACCTGGGAGCAGGAGTTAGAGAGTGGGATGGGGGTGGTTAACATAAGCCCGATTTCTCTCTACACAAATATTATAATTAATAAAGTGGAAGTAGGAATGACAAAGTAACATTATGAAACCCTAAATAAATTAATGAATCTATACTATAGTTTCTCAATTTTGACCCTATTGATGTTTGGGCCAGATAATTCTTTGTTGTGAGGATTGTCTTATGCAAAGCAGTATCCCTGGCCTCTACTAACCAAATGCCTTTAGAACCCCTCCCTCCTAGTTGTCACAACCAAAAGTGTCCCCAGACATTGACAAATGTACCCTCAAGGGCAAAATTACCCCTGGTTGAGAACCACTCATTCACAAATTGCACACCAATGATCACTAACTTCACAAAAAAAAAAACCCCGACTTCATATATTGAGAGAATATATCACCACCTACAAAGCAGTGTCTCTCCCCCGCCTCCAGTGAAAATAAATCAAAATCTAATCAAACCTCTAGATCCAACTTTAGAATACACCAAAACAAGAAAAGTTCAACGACACCACAAGGATGTAAGCAGCAAAATCTATTCTACAGGGAAAGTCTACAGGACAAAGCCAGTTTGTTTAATAAAAATTTGCAAGAGAAAAACAAAAAGGGAATCTATAGATTAAGAGATTCACGAAACGTATCATCCAATAAGCAGTATGTGGACTTTATTCTGATCGCAATTCAAACAAACTGCAAAAAAATTTTTAAATGACATTTGTGAGACAAATTTGAATCTACCTGAATAGTTTGATATTAATGATATTATAAGCTTTTAAAGGCTTGTTGGCATGGATGCAGAGAAAGGGGAACCCTCTTACACTGCTGGTGGAATGCAAGCTGGTACAGCCACTCTGGAAAACAGAATGAAGGTTCCTCAAAAAGTTAAAAATAGAACTACCCTATGATCCAGCAATTGCACTGCTAGGTATTTACCCAAAGATACAAATGTAGTGATCCGAAGGGGCACCTGCACCCCAATGTTTATAGCAGCAACATCTACAATAGCCAAACTATCGAAAGAGCCCAAATGTCTACTAATAGATGAATGGATAAAGATGTGGTATATATATTTATATATACATACACACACACACACACACACACACAATGGACTATTACTCAGCCATCAAAAAAAAAAAAAAAAATTGGGGCACCCGGGTGGCTCAGATGGTTAAGCGTCTGCCTTCAGCTCAGGTCATGATCCCGGGGGGTCCTGGGATCGAGCCCCCTGCTCGGCGGGAAGCCTGCTTCTCCCCTTCCCACTCCCCCTGCTTGTGTTCCCTCTCTCGCCGTGTCTCTCTCTGTCAAATAAATAAATAAAATCTTTAAAAAAAAAAAAAAAAATGAAATCTTGCCATTTGCAACAACATGATGGAAGTAGCAAGTATTATGCTAAGCGAAAAAAGTCAATCAGAGAAAGATAAATTAACATATGAGTTGACCCATACGTGGGATTTAAGAAACAAAACAGAGGAGCATAGAGGAAAGGGAGGGAAAAATAAAACAAGACAAAATCAGAGAGGGAGACAAACCAAAACAGACTCTTAACCACAGGAAACAAACTGAGGGTTGCTGGAGGGAAGGAGGGTGGAGGGATGGGGTAACTGGGTAATGGGCATGAAGGGACATGAATGAGCACTGGGTGTTATATACAACGGATGAATCACTGAACTCTAACCTCTGAAACTAATGATACACTATATGTTAATTAATTGAGTGTAAATTAAATTAAAAATAAAAGGCTTAATGATAGTACTGTCATTAATTCTTTTCTTTCCGAAGTTCTTATCTTTGAGTAATATATACCCAAACAATTCCAGATAAAATTATATTACATCTGGATTTGCCTTAAAACAATATGTGAGATGAAAAGGGGGGGGTGGTTAGATGAATTAAGATTAACCATAAACTGGTCATTGTTAAAATTGGTCATGGGTTCACAGGGGTTCACTGTACTTTTCTAAGGGTTTAAAGTTCTTCCAAATAAAATGTTTTAAAAAATCATTATCTTTAACACTTATTCCTTATCATTTAATAAGGTAGTAACTAGACCATAAGCCCAAGTAGTTCAATTAACGGAAATACATTCTGTAGCTAGTTCATCTAGGCTCAGAAATCAGTCACTGGAGTACTCTGAAATCATACTGAACAGACTTTGGGTTACCTATAATACCTGCTCCGAAAAGGTTCCAGGGCCAAACTATTTCTGCTCATGCTCCATGGTATAGGACTCCAGAAACTCCATTCAGTATTTATTCAAGCCCTTTAGCAGACCCCAAACCGCTTTCCTGGATTACTATGTTGCATACCTGTATGTAGGTATACCTGCTACTCTCCTCTATGGGGTGCTTAACATGGCTAGGCGCAACTATCATAGCCATATCATTTCCATCAACTTCTGGTTTGGTTTTGTACTCTTATAATCAACAATATCAAATACTTGGGTGAACCCTTTTCAGACTATAATCTCAAACTGTCTGTTATACAGAGTATAATAGAAGTCCAGATGAAAGACAGTCAGCTCTAACTATGTTTATTAAAGAACTGTAAAAGATGACATAACTCTAAGTGAGAAAATATCCAGATGTGTTTCTACTCAATTTTACTTCAGGGACTATATCCAAAGAAAATGAAAACACTACATCAAAGAGATATCTGCATCCCCATGTTCACTGCAGCACTGTTTACAATAACCAAGACACAGAAACAACAGAAGTTGTGGTGTGTATATATATAAAGAAAATGGAGTTATTATTCAGCCACAAAAAGGAAGGAAATCCTATCATCTGTGACAGTATGGATGGACCCCAAGGGCACTACACTAAGTAAATCAGAGAAAGACAAATACTGTATGACCTCACTTATATGCAGAATCTAAAAATAAAAAATAAAATCAAACCTATGGAAAAAGATCCAGATCTGTAGTTATCAGAGACAGAGGGAAAGAACATGGGGAAACTGGCTGAAGGTGGTCAAAAGGTATAATACTTTCAATTATGACACAAATCAAGTCCTGGGGATATATGTACAACATGATGATTAATACCTAACACAGGTGGTGTGGTATGGTATATTTGAAAGTTAAAACAGTAAATCCTAAAAGTGCTCAACACAAGGAAAAAAAATATTTTTTCCTATTTTGTATCTAAATGGCATAATGGGTGTTAACTAAACTTATCGTAATCATTTTACAATATGTATGTTAAACCATTACGTTGTACACCCTGAACTTACATAGTGCTGTATGTCAACTATATCTCAATAAAACTGGAAAATAAAAATTAGTCAACCAAGACAACATGCAATTACATTTTCTCAGTTCCAACAATAAGAGCTATGCAAAAAAAAGGCGGGGGGGTGGGGGGGGCTATGCAAGCTATTAGCTTTCTGGCAGCACAGGCAAAAGAGAAAGTAAACTCCAAATGGGAAGAATCAACATGCCAGTGAACGATCACTTTCTACTTCTAGTAAGAATATATGCAATCACATTTTTTATTTTTGGCAAATATCTCAACATCCCTTTAAAAGGGGATTAAAAGGCACAATAAATAATTACCACTCAGGGACTCTTTCATTTCAGCTTATCCTAAAAGAGTAAGACAATAGTTGAGCCCATGTATTTATCTAATCTGCGAATTTCCTTTTCAATAGGGCAAATGGCTTCCACATAAAGGCAGTGTCATGTCAGAATACAACCTAACTGTACTCACCATTTCTATTTACACATATAATTTTATATATTAAGTCACCAAAAGAAAAATCCTAGTTAGCTTTTTCAAGTCCCTCCAACAAACCATAGAAAAAGATTAAAATCTGCATTTCAAAAGGGGAATAGGGAAAGTGACCACAACTCATTCTATACATTCACAGACGACTTTCTAAACTACACCCATATATCCTTAGTCCTCCAAATTGTATTTGCCTCACACTAATCAAAAAGCAACATAAAAATTATTTATTAAGAAATAAAATCAGATGGATTTTGACCAAAATCAACAGTGAACAAAATACCTGGGAATAGCCAAACTTGGAATAAACCGCTTGTCCATGTAAATTAAATCTTTTATCCCCAGGCTGCTGGTACACAGTTGTCAAAAAGTGATTTAGGTCTATTACTTAATTATATTTATGCATATGTGTGTCTCATTCTAAAGAACTTGAACTGATTTAAAAGTGGCAAAAATTTGGGAGAATTAAATGGTTCTTCTCCATCATGAAGACTGTATTTAAAGTATTTTTCTTCTTGAGTGCACAAATGTTCTAAAATGAAAAAAGCGTTATCAAAATTTTTTTAAACCTAAATAACCACTAAGTCTTAAAATGTGGAATAGCATCATCACACAACCCAAAAAGGCCAAAAACAGAAGCAAAATTAATCTCAAAGTAAATGAGAACTTAATAGCTTCCAAGCTTCTCATATTTTCCTACTTACCAATTTATCATTTTCATTGGGCATTTCAAATACACATCTCAATTTAGAATCCATTAATTCATCAGGTTTTGCCTCTTTCCACTAAAAACAAACAAAAACAACATGAGATAGAGAAAGTATGATTGTGACAAATAGGTTTCGCACCTCAAGGGACAACTAACAGGTTTCACCTCAGGGGACACTGCAGCTGTTTGGAGCAGGGGTGGTCTGTGGCTCAGACAGGACACAGTGCAGCACTCCATACTGATCACCCTGCCACGGTTATCTGGCAATACCACCTCAAGAAACATACTATCACCATCTGTTAAAAATCACACTAACATATCTAGAGATTGAAGGACTTTCTTCCTACTAGTAGCATTTCTAAATGGTTTCTAAGAAATACTATTTCAAAATTCTTTCATTCTTGAAATTAGGACTTTCTTCCTACTAGTAGCATTTCTAAATGGTTTCTAAGAAATACTATTTCAAAATTCTTTCATTCTTGAAATTAAGTCAGGTTTATCTGTAATTAACAGATTTACATATTTTTAAATTAAAAATTAGCTTTCTCAAATAAGAACTATACAAAACCCAAGCTTTAAAGAACATCCCCCCAAATAAATTCTGTTCCACTTCTATACTTACCACAGCTTCCATATCTGAAGTGTTTGGTGGAGCAAAAATTGTCTGTACCATAAACTTGTGTTTACTCTTCTCATTGGGATCATAGTCAAAAGGCTGTAGCATTACTAAAGAAGAAGAAAGGACATATGACTTGGTGTCTTCTGCATCTGCTTATCATCCCTATTGTTTTATTAATACGCAAATTTAAAGAAAACCAGGACGGGTTCAAGAAACCTAATCCTGGATTACTTATATTAAGGATCCAGAATCAACTTTATGGTTTCCAACTATTTTAACAGCCCACAAAATAAACAGCTACTTAAAAAATAAATATAAATCTATGATTGTCCCTCTAAATTCAAGTTTGGGAAAATTTTCAAAATGTTGCCAACATTAACTATTATAATACCTGTAAACTCATATTAAAATCTAGTAAACTGTCTATTAAAACCAGTTATAAATATAAGGCTTCATTTGGTATTTAGTGATATTATCTTTCAGAATTAGACATCTGGGATACAAAAAGGAGAATTTAAAAGTTAACTTCAAAACTCACTACCATATTTTAGTGTTCTAATAAAACTAATTTTTCACAAACAGATTTTAAATAAACACCCATTCAAGAAGTTTACCAATCTGCTTAAATCTGATTCTAAGAGAACAAAGTAACAAGGAAAAGGCATACTCACATCATTTCCAGAAATTTTCTAGCATCCTAATAATATATTCAAATTTTTCTAAGCACTCAAGATTTTCAGTAGCCTTTAAGAGGATTTTTAGGGATTCCTCATGACTAAAAGTGATGCGAAACTTTTATTCAATTTATATTACAAAAACAATGAGAACAAATCTACAGTTACACGAAATATATATATGGTATTGTACAAATTATTCCCCCGCTAATGTGTAAATTATTTCTAAGATATATCTTCTGGACATGTACATCAACACTTTCAAAAAGACAAATGCAATTAAGCAAATGCGAAATATAACAACTACATAAAAAAATCATATTCTAGGTGTATCTGAGATGTCCATAACTCCCATCATGGCTAAAAAAATTTTTAAAGGGGCAAATACATAGCAGAAAAAAATGCACAGGATAGGGGCGGAGCAAGATGGCAGAGGAGTAGGAGACCTGGATTTCGTCTGGTCCCAGGAATTCAGCTGGATAGAGATCAAACCATTCTGAACACCTACAAACCCAACAGGAGATCGAAGAAAGGAATAGCAACAACTCTCTGAACAGAAAAGTGACCACTTTCTGGAAGGTAGGACGTGCGGAGAAGTGAATCCGAGGCGATATTCGGGATAGACGGCGGGGGAGGGGCCTCCCTCGGCCGCTTCTGGCAAGTGATAGAGCCGCCGAGCACAAAATCGGAACTTTTAGAAGTCGGCTCCGCTGAGGGACGTCACTCTGGGGGCTAAGCAGGGGGTGGAACCCTCCGGGACAGTGTGGTCTCAGGACCCTCGGGGTCACAGAAAGGCCGGGGGTGCCTGAGTGTGGCAGAGCTCCCAGGTAACGGAGCAGGGAAGCCGGCTGCAGAGGCGGAGCCCAGGCGCGGGCTCTCAGCTCCGGGTCGCCATAAACCGTGATCCGCGGCACAGTCGGGCCCCTGCTCCTCCAGCAGGGACCCAACAAGCGGCAGATCCGGGGAGACTCACCTTCCTCCCCGGGGAGGAACCGCACGGGAGTGCACCGCAGGGATCTGCTGGGTTTGGAGACTCCACCCGGGGTCGGGTGCCAGAGAGAGAAACGCGCGGTCACAGGCCGGGTGAGCACGGAGTGCGGCCGGAGACCGGGGAGACAGGAGTGATTGATGGCTTTTTCTGGGGGCTCACTGAGAAGCGGGGCCCCGAGTTCTCGGCTCCTCCGGGGCGGAGATTGGGAGGCCGCCATTTTCACTCTCCGCCTCCAAAGCTGTACGGAAAACTCGCAGGGAACAAAAGCCCCGGAGAGCAAACCCGAGCAGATTACTTAGCCGGGAGGGGGCAAGGGCGGGGCAATTCCGCCTCCGGCAGAGACATTTGGAAACCACGGCAACAGGCCCGTCCCCAAAAGATCAGCGAGAACAGCCAGCCAAGACCAAGTTTACCGATCAATGAGAACAGCAGAACTCCAGCGCTAGGGGACTACTGCACATAGAATTCACGGCTTTTTTACCATGATTCTTTAGTCTTTCAAAGTTAATTTTTTTTTAACTGTCTTTTTTTTTTTCTTTTTGAATTTTTCTTTTTCCCTTTTTGAACCAACATCTTATCAATCCCTTTTTTTAAAAAAAAAACATTTTTATTTTTCATTTTTAGAGTCATATTCTATCCCTTCATAGTAGTTACCCGTATTTTTGGCTTATATAGATAAGTTGTTCTCTCTTTAAAATTTTGAGATACTTTCTTCTAACAGATTAAAATGTACCCTAAATCTCTAGTATATGGTGTTTTCTATTCCACTGCCTGATCACATCCTCTCCCTTTTTTTTTCTTTTTTTAAATCCTCTTTCTTTTTTCAAACTTATCAATTCCTTTTATAAAATTTTTTATAATTTCCATCTTCACAGTCATATTCCATCCCTTCATCATATCAACCCTTATTTTTGTACATATATAAGTTTTTCTTTCTTTAAAATTTTGGGAGGCACTTTCTTCTAAAAGACCAAAATACACCCCAAATCTAGTGTGTGGCACTGATCTATATACCAGCCTGATCATATTTGATCACATTCTGATTTTTTTTGTTGTTGTTTTGTTTTTTGTTTTTGTTTTTATCCTTATCTTTTTCTTTCTCTTCTTTTTCTTTTTCTCTCCCTTTCTTTTCCCACTGCTTCAGGTCTTTTCTGATTTGTTTACAGTATATTTTCTGGGGACGTTGTTACTCTGCTAGCATTTTGTTCTCTGATTCACCTATTCTCCTCTGCACAAAATGACAAGACGGAAAAAATCACCTCAACAAAAAGAACAAGACGCAGTACCGACTGCCAGGGACCTACTCAATACGGACATTAGTACGATGTCAGATCTAGAGTTCAGAATCATCACTTTAAAGATACTAGCTGGGCTTGAAAAAAATATGGAAGGTATTAGAGAAACCCTTTCTGCAGAAGTAAAAGAACTAAAATCCAACCAAGTAGAAATCAAAAAGGCTATTAATGAGGTGCAATCAAAAATGGGGGCAATAACTGCTAGAATAAATGAGGCAGAAGACAGAATCAGTAATATAGAAGATGAAATGATGGAAAATAAAGAAGCTGAGAAAAAGAGAGATCAACAACTACTGGATCACGAGGGCAGAATTTGAGAGATAAGCGATACTATAAGACGAAACAACATTAGAATAATTGGGATCCCAGAAGAGGAAGAAAGAGAGAGAGGGGCAGAAGGTATAATGGAGCAAATTATAGCAGAGAACTTCCCTAATTTGGGGAAGGAAACAGGCATCAAAATCCAGGAAGAACAGAGAACCCTTCTCAAAATCAATAAAAATAAGTCAACACCCCAACATCTAATAGTAAAACTTATGAGTCTCATAGACAAAGAGAAAATCCTGAAAGCAGCTCGGGAGAAGAGATATGTAACCTACAATGGTAGAAACATTAGATTGGCAACAGACCTATCCACAGAAACCTGGCAGGCCAGAAGGGACTGGCAGGATATATTCAGAGCACTAAATGAGAAAAATATGCAGCCAAGAATACTCTATCCAGCTAGGCTGTCATTGAAAATTGAAGGAGAGATAAAAGCTTCCAGGACAAACAAAAACTAAAGGAATTTGCAAACACAAAACGAGCCCTACAGGAAATCTTGAAAGGGGTCCTCTAAGCAAAGAGAGAGCCTAAAAGCAACATAGACCAGAAAGGAACACAGACAATATACGGTAACAGTCACCTTACAGGCAATACAATGGCACTAAATTCCTATCTTTCAATAGTTACCCTGAATGTAAATGGGCTAAATGCCCCAATCAAAAGACACAGGCTATCAGACTGGATTAAAAAACAAGACCCACTGATATGCTGTCTGCAAGAGACTCATTTTAGAACCAAAGACACCCCCAGATTGAAAGTGAGGGGGTGAAAAACCATTTACCATGCTAATGGACACCAAAAGAAAGCTGGGGTAGCAATCCTTATATCAGACAAATTAGATTTTAAACCAAAGACTGTAATAAGAGATGAGGAAGGACATTATATCCTACTTAAAGGATCTATCCAACAAGAAGATCTAACAATAGTAAATATCTATGCCCCTAACATGGGAGCAGCCAATTATATAAGGCAATTAATAACAAAAGCAAAGAAACACATCGACAACAATACAATAATAGTGGGGGACTTTAACACCCCCCTCACTGAAATGGACAGATCGTCTAAGCAAAAGATCAACAAGGAAATAAAGACTTTAAATGACACACTGGACCAAATGGACTTCACAGACATATTCAGAACATTCCACCCCAAAGCAACGGAATACACATTCTTCTCTAGTGCCCATGGAACATTCTCCAGAATAGATCACATCCTAGGTCATAAATCAAGTCTCAACCGGTACCAAAAGATTGGGATCATTCCCTGCCTATTTTCAGACCACAGTGCTTTGAAACTAGAACTCAATCACAAGAGGAAAGTCGGAAAGAACGCAAATACATGGAGGCTAAAGAGCATCCTACTGAAGAATGAATGGGTCAACCAGGAAATTAAAGAAGAATTAAAAAAATACATGGAAACCAAAGAAAATGAAAACACAACTATTCAAAATCTTCGGGATGCAGCAAAGGCAGTGCTAAGAGGAAAGTATATAGCAATACAAGCCTTTCTCAAGAAACAAGAAAGGTCTCAAGTACACAACCTAACCCTACACCTAAAGGAGCTGGAGAAAGAACAGCAAATAAAGCCTAAACCCAGCAGGAGAAGAGAAATCACAAAGATCAGAGCAGAAATCAATGAAATAGAAACCAAAAGAACAGTAGAACAGATCAACGAAACTAGAAGCTGGTTCTTTGAAAGAATTAACAAGATTGATAAACCCCTGGCCAGACTTATCAAAAAGAAAAGAGAAATGATCAAAATCAACAAAATCATGAATGAAAGAGGAGAGATCACAACCAACACCAAAGAAATACAAACAATTA